CTTAATAAGTTATATACGGTTAGTACTATTGCCGAGAACACCCTAAATGAGGTGACACCTGAAGCACGTTAAACGTGAGAATTTGCAGACGATCTCTCACATCTTTAACCCCACCTGATTTTGCTGGGGACCCACAGGTCCTTATCCAAGAACACAAATAGGTGACTAGAGCAACCGAGGTGCAAACCCACCTCAAGATGCCATACCTTGTGCGTACAGTGCAGGTGTGAGTGTGGGATCACAGGAGAACATGACAGGAACCTTAACAGAACTGCAAATTGAAAGTGTTTAGCTTGCATTTGGATCAGGAAGCCTCAAGCACTAGTTTGCTTGCAGGTGGTTTTTAGCTCATATAGAAAAGGTCTGCGCACAACACAAAAGTTCATTTAGTTTCAAGTTGGTTTCAAGATAGAGTGTTTCTGCTCAAAGGGTGTTTGATCTGCACTGCTACATTGTTGACAAAGCTGAAGTATGCTTTGCTCCCAGGTGGAACTTCTCAGGATGTTTTCCCAGTAATGGAAGAGTCAGCCATGCAAAGTCGGAATGGCCTTTTTTGTGCTGACAAATACTTGAGGGACATAACCTGCCCCCGAAATGTCCTTGCATTCTCCAACAAGGCTTTTGTTTCTCTTTGTGGGTTCTTAGCTTGAAGGGAGAAAGAAAAAATGGGCACTGGAATGGTAAAGTATCAGCCAGCAGCTGTTGTGTGAGTGACAAACTCAAGGGCTTGTGATATGAGAGGCACAGAGGAGAGGAAGACAGCATTGGTTCTGCTGTCCAGCATAACATGTGCTGGTGCGTTACGAAGAAAAGACATTACCTGTTAGAGGTATATTGGACACAGTAATATTTACTTGTAAGGTGCAGCGTTTTCACACCGAGCCCCCTCATATCTTTTTTATATGAGGTTTGTGTTTGAATGCTGAAATGTTGGTCATATGCTGCTGGCAGGGATCTGCATTGTCATTGTGGACTAGACAGAGTATGTCTGAAGAAAATGTCTGTCGACACATTGTCCAGGTTGGCGTTTGAGGTCTGTAATGATGAGGGGGTAAAAATAACATAGATTCCTCCAGTCATTTTTGTAAGTAAAGCAAAGAAAGTCTCTTTTTTTTCCCAATTAAGAGATAAGCTTGATGCTATTTTGTGACTGCTGCTATACTTGATTATGCTGTATACAGTTATTTCCTCGGGTCTGATGCACCTGTTGTGGGTTTGTGCTAGTAAATAAGATAACATTGAGAAGAAGCAGTGTTACAACGTCCCCACCAGCATGTCAACAATGCTTAATTCCTCTGCATCTCTTTCACATTACTTTATAACTTTATTTGGCTAAACAAAGACATTTCCCGACAACAGTAAGACTTTGTTTGTCTGACCTGTCTTTTTAATGAGATTAAAGTGAGTTCTCAGGATGTTTTCTTTTTTGTCTCATCCCAATAAATGTGTAATATAAATTTCATGTTTTACATTTAAGTCTAAAACTATATGTAAGATAATTATAAATATCATAAATATAGAAATGAATATAGATATTTTATTTTCCCCCTCAGAAAATTTAAAATCATAAGTAATATATTTTTAAAATTAATTAATATTTGAATGCATCTGAATGCACGTTTCATGTGCTTGTACATTTTGAATTAAGATAAATTAATTACTATAGTATTAGACAATTAAATGGAGATATTTGTCCTCATATTGTTTGTTTAAAAAAATATAATTTAATTCAGTGTAAATTGTGTATATTTTTGTCTCTAAAGATGAAGACATTCACTCATTTTTTTTGTTTGTTTTTTTTTTTGTTAATGGCAGTTTGTCATTTACAATAATTGTAAACTAGGTCAATTAATGAAGCATATCAAATATTTTTTTGTGATGGATGGCTAAGTGCTTTTGTTTTCATTCAGTAAGGACATCTGTTGTTGCTCAAGCATGACACTATAACTGAGAAATCTGTTATTTTGTTATTCTCTTCTCTTGCCTTTTGATTAAGAATTCAATTGTAATTTGCTATCATTGTAAAGACATTTACTGCTTCATGATCTTTTTAATGCATGTACTAAACAGTTGGAAACCAATGTTGGGTCCGGCCACCTGTTTATTCAAAATCTTGATTCTCCTGGAAATAAATGTATTTTGTTCAGAGAATGCTACTGCATTTTGATACTATCTGCAGTCTAAAAAATTGTGATAATTGATTATTGTTCTCTCTCTAATATAATTGCTCAATTAAATAGAATTAATTGGGAATTGAACAATATTCTAAATAAAGAAATGTTTGTAAATTAAAATGCAATGAAATTAAACTGATTGTGGATGATTTTGTAAATAATGAAGTGCAATACAAAAGTCCAAAATTATACTTGTAACATTAGTAAGCATGATTATGTTTTCATATTTTGTATCTGATAACAAAAAACAAACATGTTTTAAACATGTTTACAGGAAGATCTCCCTTTCAGAATTATACATTTAAATAGCTTTTTTTAATTATTCAGTTTTGCTATAAATTTCTAGAAATTTCTAGAAAAATTCTAATAATAATTTCTTAGTTTTTGTGGCTCCTTTTTTCAACAACAGTTTCACATCAAGGAAGTTTTTGTGCAGTGCAATAGTATTGCTGTAATGCATGAGTTATATCTTTTAAGTTTAAATTAAAAGACCAAATAAGCAAATATTTCTGTCCTTAAATTAATTTCTTATCAACACACATGCTTCCTTGATTTATGGAGACTCAAACCTTACTCAAACACCCAAGTTTATGTGTGAAAAACTGAAACGTTTAATCAGCTATGATATTTGGATGGTTTAGCAAACTTTATTTGGGTGTGTCTTCACGGATATCGCGTTAATTGCAGGCATCCGGGAAATAGCTTGAACTGCTTAGCCCAGTAGAGAAGCTTTTGAGTGACGTCATTATTCCGCGAAAAAACAGCATGGTCAGGTTAGAAAATAGGGGCGTGAACCACAGAGGCATTTTTGAATCAAATATAGTAAACTTTGTTTTGACGTTTTATAAATAGCCTACCTGTTTGAATGTCTTAAATGAGTTCAAAGCAAACTAAAAGTGTTGATTTATATGAAGATTTGAATTAGACACTTAATGAGTCAAAAAGTTGCACACTTAGCCTACAATATCTACCTATGTGTATATTTCATGGTTATAAGAAAAGTTTTTTTCAAATAAAGTTTTTTCTATCTAAAGCTTTCTAATGCGGATAATTTGAGTAACGTCTTATTGTTTTATTAAAGAACATTTGAATGATATCCACTCGGTGCGAAAGAAAAAAAAGCTTTATATTGTTTCAATAAAAAAGGATGCATCTTTGATGTTATAATGACTCGTAGCCTTCATTGTTTGAATCAATTAATGCGGCATTTGGAACGATGAGACCCACTCATGATACCCTGCATTACTGAAATTTCACGTGTCGGGTGCGTGTGGGCAACCCTGCAGTTTCACATAAGGAACGCGGATGTTTTAACAAGGAAATGAAATGACAATATGTTTCAGCATTTAAGTCGCTGGAATTGCTTAATTATACCTAAATTTGATGTTGTAGCTGATATGCGTCCTTTTTGCTTGCTCTGTTCATTTAGATTTATAGCTTATTGCGTTTAGTCAGGGCTATGGGCTTCTAATATAAAAAATAGAAACTTATGGGCTGACTTAACTTTTGAAAATTATGACCTATATATTATTTAAATTGTATTGCTTTATTTGTTCTGCATGAATTGTAATCAGAATCAGTTTATCTGATATAATATAGATCTGATAGATCTATGAGTTTCTCAAAGCATCACTCGGATTGTGTTGCTGTAAGTGCTGCAGAGTTGTATAAATGTCTTCATGGCATCGGCGTGCGGCAGACTCTGTAAAGCAGCGACATTCATCAGGTGATCAGTATATTAGATTAAGTTCTTTCTGGCGCTTTAGAAGGTGAACTTCCACTGACAAAGTCTGCCCAGTAACAATCCGAAAGCGCGCAGAAGAACTATTGGCTATGCAAATTAACAGGGGAGGGAAACAATCTACAGCGAGAAAAAAAAAAGATTTTAAAGAGACATTTCCTATCACATTTAAAAAGTGTTGAAACGAAGCAACTGTTGCAAAAGTACACTATAGTTGCTGTCTGTAGAGTTCTTCCGAATCACTTGAGAACCTCGAGATGCACCTCGGTCAATAACTCACTCAGATGTTCTCTTTAAGGTAGCTAGTTGAAAACACATTAGCGCCATTTAATTGTAATTCCCGTAGACGAAAGGTTAAACTGCTATGTCTCAATTGCAACTTAAATGACTTTATAAATGAGTGCTGTTATGGGCTGTTGAAATCCGTCACCTGCATGTTAGGAATAGCAGAACACAATTTTGGAATGCTCACATCTCCTTTTGAGGCTTGGCTTTTCGGTCCTAAATAGAGACTATAGCTAATGCTTTATATAATACACTGGAGGCAGCTCAAGAGAATAACTAGCATTGCAGCTGCTATCTCTAACCAGAGAGCGTTGCTTCATGCTTTCGCTGCATTTCCTAGAAAGCTATCTCGTTGACCACAGGCGTTGCTGCTTCATGTAAGATAGTTCTATTTCTACTTTGTGATGACGAGGGGACGTTTTAAAGTCAAAAAGAAAAGTTTTTGACCATTTATTGGTTTATCATTTGATAGCATACAAAAAATAAATAAATAAATGACGTTTTAGATCACTTCGAGAAAGGCTACCATATAAAAGTTGAGTATTTCCTTGGGTGCTGTGTGTTTAGGTTTACCCAACGTCGTTAAAATAGTCGCGTATATCTATGAATGGGTGAGTTAACTAAGGATGAGCGTCTTGTTTGAACCATGATACCAGCAAATATGGTCTTCCTGTCCATCTTGTGGAGTCTATTTATTATATGATAACAAGAGCAAGAGGGGAGGAAAATAAGAGGAAGACCGAGCGTGTTGCCTCTGGCCAATAATAAGATCTGCTTGTGAAGCTTGCGTCACAGCCTTACATCTGCAGACCTCAAATGTTGCAGCGAGAGGAGCAGAGCAGAGAAAGAGACTAGTGGGGAAAAGTTTGCAAAGGGATCAGGACTAACCTGGACAGCCTTGTAGACTGATTTTATGTGTCCGAAAAGTCCTTTCTCCACTTTTTGATCTTTCGCAACCATTATATTTTACTGTTGGTAGGCATATTCGAGATCGAAAAGGACTTTAACAATCATGGAATTGCTTTGTCTCGAAATGGACACCATTGTAAGAGCCCGTCCTGACCCGAATCTTCTATTAGATGACAGGGTACTACAGAGCTTGTTGACCATCGAAGAGAGGTTTCTTCCCCAGTGTTCATATTTTAAATGCATTCAGAAAGACATTCAGCCCTTTATGCGGAGGATGGTGGCAACTTGGATGTTGGAGGTTTGTACATATCCGATCATTTCCGTGCTTACGCCGTCTCTTCAAAACGTTTTGCAAAGTGTTTTCTCCTTTATTCTGTCACGTAGCCTTAGCATTGTGGAATGCAACTGAAGGAGCTACTTTAATATTTCCGAAAGGGCAGATCCGATTTTGTTGGGTTATTTATTTGATTGCAGTCATAAGCGCTGATTTTGGACCAAGTTCACGATTAGATTTGCAGGGGGATGGAAGTTATCGACATATGTCAGTGATCATAAGCGCATATTTCTTAAGGTTTTTGGTTCCGTCAACACAGTGGACAGAATCGTGCTTAATGTTATTTATTTATTTTTAGGATAAATATTTCCATGCACACGTATGCACTTCAATGCTTGCCGCTGTGCTACATCTAACCATCGCCATGTTGGTTTTTCTTTCACAACAACTTTATCGCAACAAAATGATCATAACAACTCTTTACATGTGCATTACTTGATAAATGAGCGTCTAAGGTTTATAATTATGGTTGAATATATTGGTAATTACTTTTCTATAATTTTGTACAATTTTTTGAAATAAATGGTTGCCGAAGGGGCGAGGGCCGTGCTGCTTCTTAACCCATGCTGATCGAAGTCTATAGCCTTGGAATTAAGTTCGTTTTTTGTCGGAATCTTTCATGTTTCTTATCTTTGAGTGTTGGAAACGTTAGATGAGGACCTTAGCTTTATTTTCATGTCTTAAAATTTCAGGTGAATCAAGCAGGAGAATTTATAAAAATTTTTGAAAAACATATTTCGCTCCGATGCTGACGCACTCATCTAAGACCACATGCTACTTCGTTTAAAAAAACTCATTTTTATCGTATAAAACACCGATTTAATAACTTGTCAATTGTCGGGAATGATGTAAAAGGGATTGGTGAATATTTAGAGGTGTGAATGGTGGACGTAGACAATTTATTTATATTTTTAAATATTTTATGAAAATATGACGAATTAAAAAAACAGATCCCGTACTGTGTAGCATGGGTGTTTTTTGGCTCGGGTGATTGTGATTTGAATTCGTTTCTTACTGAATGAACCAAAGGAATGTGTGCTTATTGACAAAGACGTTTGAGTCCTCTTTTCATCCTATACATTTATAACTACAAGACAGGAATTGCACGTTTTCTTGTTTTTTTTTTAATCAATCTCTACTGTTACCGTAACGATGTACAACCTCATATCTATGCCACTGATGGACAGTACGACATATTTCGTTTTTTCTTGACAATTATTTTACATATATATACAGACATTGCGTGTCATAAATTAGACTAATTTTGTTGCGCCACGTGCATCTTTTCCTCTGAACTGATTAAGTTATGCCCTGCCCTTTCCAGGTCTGCGAGGAACAGAAATGTGAGGAAGAAGTTTTTCCACTGGCTATGAACTACTTGGACCGATTTTTAGCGGTGGTACCAACAAGAAAATGTAACTTGCAGTTGCTCGGAGCAGTGTGCATGTTTCTTGCGTCTAAATTGAAAGAGACGCGTCCATTAACTGCAGAGAAGCTGTGCATCTATACTGATAACTCAATCAGACCGCAGGAACTGCTGGTAAGCACCAAACAAACTCTTTGCATACCAAAACCTACTAACCCATCTGTAGCAACTAGATACTTGTTTACATAGGCCTACTTTATCCACAATTTTCCCCAAATATAAATTGCATACTGTCACTACATCTTTTAATGCATCCCACTTATTTAATTTTAATTTAAAAATGAATGTAACCCACTGCAGTATTTGATGGAGTTATTTTTCATAATGTGTATGTTTAGAAAATCAGCCACATAAGAATTAAACGTAGTCTAAAGCAAAGACTAGGTTCTGTTTGACAGAATATTCTGCCGTCTGATGGATGTTCTCCACATTCAAATATCTACTAAAGGGTATTTGAGTGCGTTTCCATGTATCACAGGGCTATTACGCCATCTAGTGGCAAATATGCAACCCACAGCAATATCACGGCTGAGGTCTTGTTAGGTGCATGTTTTGTGAAAATAGAATAGTCTTAAGGTACATGGGGCAACTTTTTGTGCAATGTTGCCAACCGATGCTGCTTGGGAAATCTCCATTTGAGAATGGGCGACAAATTTTGATCTGAAATCTTTCGATTGATCAAAGGCCCTGCCTCACCTGGTTGCCCAGCAACAGTGCTCAAAAAGTTTCCACATGTATCATCCCCTTAAGTGTCAAAAGAGAGATACAGTCAATTGACTAACTTTTCATCTTTGGAATATCGTCATTCAGCTTCTTCTCATTTCTATTTGCATAGGTCAACTATATGAGTAAATTTTTGATTTAGAGGAAAAACTGTAGACATGAAAGCTAAATATGCTGTTAAATCACTCATTACTCAGTGTCAAGGGGAAAAAACAGTGTGCTACATTGTGGCATAAAAAAAACATTTGACTATGTTACACCTGCACTTTGTGAGTTTTTCCTCAGCTCTTACTGATTCAGCATTGTATTTCTTGTGGAAATGGGCAGTGTTTTAGTAGTTCAGGGTAAAAAATTGTCAGCGAATTGTTGCTGTGGGCATCCTGTTTTTTCTCTTCAGTCTGGCCTAGTGTTGTTGTGGAGCTTCTGCTGGTCTGCAAAGTCCAACAGATGCAGGAAACTGAATATCAGCTGTCAGTCATATTTTTTTTGTCCTCGTTAGCTAGCAAGAAGTTCTTGTAAATGAAACCACAATGACAGCCTGGAGGTACGACTGTAGGGCACAAAAAGGAGGAAGTGGGTTCCTGCATCAAGGCTGTGTTGCAAGTATTTCAAATTGAATTTTAGGGCTGCCATCAGTGCACTAGTGAGGGGACACTGGACTGTTGAATTGACAGCCACAGAAGACAATATGTCGTCCTAAAGTTACTTAAAGCTGGCGTTTGTGGTCATTTATAGCCTCATAAAGGTTCAACAGTGTGCTCAGAATATGACCAAAGATGGAGATGTACACAAATACAGTATATCGTTTGCTAATACATAAATATGTAGTTTTGAGCCTTAGTTGCCAAAACTTTCGTTCCAAACCTGTATGACTTTCTTTCTTCTAGAACACCAAATAATTGTACAAAAATGTTTCAGCTGTTTTTGTCCAATCGAAGTGAATGGGTTCCAAAACATTGATTTGACCCTATGTACATTCATTGTTATCTGACGTTCTTCGAAATATCTTTTTTTGTGTGTGTGTTGATAAAACAATTTTCATTTTAAGGTAAAATTTCCATTTAAGAGCAAAGCAACACACCAAAGTGAACATGTATATTTTTGCTGCCCAAACTTTACAGATCCGAAGTGACAGAACGCAGAGACACATTTTCACATTAGCGTGTAATTGGCTTTTTTTTTTTGAAAACGCCTCTGCTCATAGTTTACATTCCATCATACCCCTCTTGGTGTACCAGGAGTCAATGGTTTTGAGCGACTGTGGCTTCAACATGTCATCATGGCTTGATGTTCACATCAGGCACCTCCCCTGAGGAGAGAACAGACAGGAACATGTTGCTGTATGTACTTTTGGGTGAGTCACTCACCAGTGAAATCCAGCAAAGAGAGGAAGTGGAGAAATCATGCATCAGCGGATGGCTGCCATTGTATTCTTGCTCACTTAGAAAGCTGTTGCAGGGGTATAAGTTCAGCATCTTTTGTTTGTGCTTTATAGCAATTGTAAAGGCTTTACTGTATTTCTCAGAATGTAATGGCAATGATATTTAGCCATCTCATGAATAAAGTGTATGTGGTTCATTTGTGGAGAAAAAACACCTCCATTTGAGCGAGTGTTCAGTCATAAGGACTGTCCCAGCAAATGCAAGTTTTCCCCAATTAGTCATTTGGTCCCCTGTTACTCAGTTCAAATAGGAAGGGGGAGTGTCTTCTTGACTGAAACCAAATGACTGAGCATCTTACGTATACATTCGTCATTGTGAGTTAGGTCAAAGCAAGTTCATGTTATGCATCAAGAGTGCCCCCAAAAGACAAAATAGTATCATCAGTGGTGTTGAACAGTCACATTCATGGTCATAATTGAGCCTTGTTTTTTCTATTGAGGTTACAGCAAATCTAATTACAAGCCTTTTAAATACAACTAGGCTACAAATGAATGTTTTTATGAGTGTGTTTGTGATTGCAAATGGGCTAATGACAGGTCCAATATTTAACTATGTCTACTTCTGCCTCTTCTGACTGGACAGATTACTATAAAACAAACTCAGAATTATGTTTATATGCTAAGGAGGAAAGTACCTGACACTGGACAGTCTCTGTGAAGTGACTAGGCAATCTGAGTGACCCATTTTTCTACTCAAGTGTGCCTGCATTCAGCCTTTTAGCTTTCAGGATTTCCGCTTGTAGCTTTGCCTATAGCCAAGGCAAAACCATATCCCGGAGGTCCCAGAGCTTTACTGAGGCTAGATTTTGTGTGATCTGGTTTAAATGTATAGCAACAACATTTGAATGTGTAACAGTGGAGTTAATATATAAACATATAGACTTTATGTAGCCCCGCCCCTTTTCGTTGTGTTCTGTCTTCCGGTTTGTACTTCCACAGCATGAAGGTAAGATCTTACTGATTTATGAATGAACCGCTCGTTTTAAAATCTTCCCGGTCCACTGACATATGTTCTGACATCCACTTAAAACCTTGCAATGCTCATGATAACTTTAGTTAACTCTACAATAAGTAAATCCACTTCACCAATGCCTTAGAAATATATAGAACTACCACAAAAACTGAAGATCTAAGGATGGCTGCGAGCACGGCGCATAAGGTCTATAGTACAAACCTCTTTTACACCTTGTCTGAATGGTTGATATAGAATGTTACCCCAACAGCCAGTGTCTTAATAAAATTATATTTAGATCTTGTCAATGTCTAGTCTATCAAAAGAAAACATCTAGGGAAGCTACAGAGGATGCAATTTGTCACACCAGTTGAATGTGCAAAAACTCTGATATCTTAATACCTCAAATAGTGCAAATAGATTCAGATCACACAACTATTGAGGTTTGGATCCATAGTGATTTTGCTTCTTTCCTCAAACCTTTTTACAGGAATGGGAGCTGGTTGTCCTGGGCAAATTGAAGTGGAATCTGGCTGCTGTCACTCCCAATGACTTTATTGAACACATTATGAGGAAACTTCCACTGCCTGAGGATAAGCTGGACCTGATCCGTAAACATGTGCAGACTTTCATCGCCCTTTGTGCAACAGGTAGTGTATTCAATGTAGATGTCGGATGTGGGATTAGAAATAAATAATGCAAAGCATTTCTAAGTCTTAATTTGTGCAGTGCTCCATAGAACGTATCCCACTCGTTTAAATTGAAATCTTCTCAACATGCATTTGTACATTAACTTAGTAGAGTGTCAACGTGTATGTCTTCCATTGGTGTTAAGTATGAGTGTTAAAAGATCCACTGCCTAGTCAAGTTGGTGTTGATACCTTGCATCATCACTTCAATAAGTGATGTGTTGCAAGATCCATGTTTGTTCCTTGCAAAACTTGAAATTAAAGCCGTCTTCTGTGGGTTTAGTATCTATGGCAACTTTATTCAGGTTCTTGTTGCAGGCAAATTATCAAATGCCAACTCATTACATTCATGAGAAACTATGTGGACTGAAATAGCGACTTGTAATGGAGAGAATGTCACTGGAAGCCTTATGTGTTTGCCTGGTATGTTTGGTGGGCATATCAGTGGCTAACTTTGAATGCAGTGACACTTCAAAAGGCAGTTGTATAGTTAAGGACATTCCTGTGTGCTGGTGAGCCATTGGTTATACTGTTCCTGCTCTTAGAGGTGGACCACCTTTAGGAGATCAAACATAGAGATGAGAGGAGGGTGAGAAAACGTGAGGAGTGTATTGTTCCAGCCGAGCCAAACAGTGAAGCATGTCATGTTTTCATATCTTATCCCCTCTTCTCACGCCTCCCAGATGCTTCAGGGCATGACGACTTTCCCATAATCAGGAGCCTTTGTGAGGCTGGTTCTCCCAGCCAAGCCTGTACCGAACATCACCATAGGCGGTAATGGGATCCAGTGCACCACCCTTGTTCCCTCAGGCTTCTCTCTTCCTCCCTGGGGTTGCTCAGCTCCCCATGAACCTCAGGAGTGACTCTGACTTTGGGAAAATGGCATACGATGGGAGAGAGAATAGGAGGAGGAGCTGGCAGGTCTTTTAAACATTGGTTTTTGCATTTGAGCATTGATGATAGCTGGGATAATATGAATGGTTTAACAAAATAACTTGGTTTTAAGATGTCGAAAAATTGCAGATGCAGTGCAAAATGCCTCTTTTGTTAAATCTCTTGTTTTAAGCAATACATACATTAGTTACTAGTTTAACAACAGATTTTCAAGTGGTGTCCAAAAGATTTTAATTGCCAGGCAGATGCCTTGACTGCCGCTTTTCTTTTCTCTGTACAGTTTGCTTTCTTTGCAGAGAATTCAGCATCCCCCTCTTTTCTGAGCCATGCATAAATCAAGGCCCCTATATCTGAATGAGAAAGGAGAGAAGAGTGTGGAAAGACGACAGCTAATTTTTAATGGTTCTTTGCTTTTGATAAAACAGTTCCGTTTAGAGCACTCTGCGAGATTTGGTCAGGCAGAGTAGACCAGTTCAGTATTAATTAATAACATGGAGGGGCCTTTCAGAGATATGCAAATAGCTGGAAGGCTTGGCTAGAGACCGCAAGAAAGGAGACAAAAGGAACAACTCTCCATTTCATATGCAGAGGCATGCAAGGGTCAGTGCAGAAGGAGTACACGATAAAGCGTTTCTCCGGAGGGCAGTCTGTCGAAGGCCTACACAGGAACAAGCTCATTAAACGTGATTATACCCCATTTTACTGTTAAACACCCAGCACCCCATTTACTTCTCCATCGTAGATTGTCTGTAGATGTATAATAACAGACCTGAGACATGCTATGATATTAGCAGCAAAATAGAGATCATCTTTGCCACTCTTCAGATGGTTCCTTATCAGAGAAATCCCTTAGGAAAAATAACTACAGTAGTGACTGGTGAAGTGTTCAAGTAGGACTGAAAATTAATTCTACGATTAATTCATTCTATTTAACGACATATTCATGTCATTTCTCATTCAAGAGGCTCTGTTTCCTCCCACAACGGCCTGACTGCTGTTGCTAAAGACTCAGCACTGGAGCAAGACTGAAACAAGTTGTTACAGGATTTTAACAGTCAAAGAGTCTTCCTGTTTTTAATTAATCTGTTTTACTATGGTTAGACAGGGCAGACCAGCATGCCACTTTTGATTATTAATTTACTTTGTTGAAGTTTTGTGGCAGATTTTTTTTTTTAAAGACAATAGACTTTACATTTCTATAAAGTTGTGTTATACATGAATGTCCTAGACAAGACATGCTGATATCTAATTACTTAAAGCCTCATAATGAGACACAACACAGCTAGGAGTAAAACGCATTTTAAATTCTGTTTTGTAGGTTTAAAAACTGCAACAAAAAAGTGCCAATGAATCAATGTTTTTTCATTAAATATTTGTTACATGTCTACTCTTTTAGTAACTCTGTCTTTTAAGTTCTTCACCTACATGCTTTACCATTTATCTAAGCGTTATACTGCGATGCCCAATTCATATTTACGTTTGATCTTTATCAGGCAGGTCGAACATGACTGCTTGAAACGAGACTTTCTGTGAAGGCAAACCTGTGCATCTACATGAAAGCCTGGCACTTGATTTATTGCCCCTCAAATCATCGGTCTCTTTGGCCGTTCCTCAACTTTCCGGACGTTTAATTAATTTACAAGTTAAATGCGTACACAGCACATTGCACCCACCAAGGAGCTTGCTGTGTTGGCACAGTTCTTGGGATGCAGTGTGGCGAGGGCAGGAGAATGGTCCATTGAAGGGGGTGAGAGGCTGGTATACCAGGCCAGCCAGCCGCCGCTTACTAGGAGCCTTCCATCACAGGCGTCACCACTCAGCTACATACACTGTTTATACTCAGCATGAATATCAATGAAGGCGTGCAGAATACATCCATTCTTCCCTTACCACTCACACAAACCAGAGTGTCCAGCTCTGCCACTAGCACGCGCATACCCTTGTTCCCCCGACAAACTTGTCTTGTCTAGAGTGTGAAAAATCAGACTGCAACCGTCTCAGCACACGCAAGCTGTGTGGGCATCTATTTTCCATTGTTTTTTCTCCCTGCCCCAAAACACCTAAGAGTTGCAATGCGGTTTTTGTCTTCTTTCTGCTTGACCAGAACTTGTCTTTTGAGACATTTTTGTCTCGCCCGGCAAAAACCACAAAGGGAAGAGTGTATAATAAGTTCATTTATTTGTCAACACCGAGCCGCAAAATGAGAAAATGTCTGGCTTTGAATGTTAAAAAGGCAGTGAAGGCATGCTCGTCAGTTATCAAAGGGCCCAGGGCTTTGATTTTCTTTTTCTAAAAAGAAAGAGGAAGAAAAATCACCCTTAGAGCCATCACACACACAGTTTGCTTTGCAATTGAATATGGCAATATGGTAATGCAAAGACTGCCAGGGAGTGTGGGACCGTGAGCCCAGAGGTGGCCCTGCATCAGAGGAATGGCATGGGGGGAATGAGGTGGGTAGGAGGGTCTTTTCTTCTGCCAAAACCATACGAAGGTCTGGACACTGATTAAAGAATGATGCTTAGTGCCCCCCTCAGCCGCCCCTGCTGTCTAAAACCCAACAACACCCTCCCCCAACACCCATCTTTTGTGCGGCTGTCAGGTTGAATTGGAATCCACAGAGTGGACTTGATGTTGCATCTCTCAGTTGGATGATATGAGGTGATGATTTCAGACAATGAGGCCACACTCTCTTGCTCACTAGACCCACGTCCACCAATGGCCACACTCAATATGCCAAAAGATACACAAATCTCGAGCTGTTGTAACAACAATGACATGTATGCTATTCAACTTTAGGGGTATGTGCCTGAAGTAAAAAAGTGTTGAAAAACAGTCTGAAAAAAGGGAGAGGGGGAGTCGTAGAAAAAGAAGAAAGATGGAAATCAATGAGGCAGACAGCCTAAGTTGTTTGGTTCTTTTTTTTCCCTCTTTCTTTCTCCCCCTTCTTGCAGTCAGTCGTCTTTTGGGGTTTCAGGCCCGTTCACAAGCTGTCTTATTTGCATTATGAATGACAGTGAGAAAGCTAACAAGGTTATTGGTCTTTGAGATGTACGCCTGTGACCACACGTGGAAAAAGGACCTACAGCAGTGAGCATTGGCAGGGGGACTGTGGCTCTTTATTCCATCCTTTCCAAAGGCTATAGGGCTTTTTTTTTTTCAGGGAGCACACGATTTACTTAGGAGCTGGAAGAAAAGGGGCCGATCTGCAAAGGGTGACTGGAGGAGAGGGATGGGGGTGGGGTGCTTTTCAGATTCTTTTCAAGCCAAGTGAACCCTCATTATCCTGGGATGCAGTCATTAGCAAAGGACTGTGCACAGACCTAATGGAAAGGGTCTTCATTTACCTGTATTTATGATTTTGGATAATTTTGTATCTATTTAATAATATCTGATATTACTAAGTGTGATAAAGTACATTTTTATGAACTCAAAGTTTGACTGGTTTGCTCTTTCCTCAGATTTCAACTTTGCCATGTCCCCTCCATCCATGATTGCAACGGGCAGCGTGGCAGCGGCTATCTGTGGCCTGCAGCTCAACAGCACTAACCGCTCACTGTGGGGAGACAACCTTACAGAGTTGCTCGCCAAGATCACAAACACAGAAGTTGTGAGTATTTTTGCTTTGACAATATATTTTATTAATGCATCTTTTAATAATAATAATAACACATGGCACTTCCATGCGGGCCAGTGTGCTATACAGATTACCTCACAGTTTGTTTATATTCTAAAGTGGAGTGATCATATAGGGATGCTTTATTATTTAAAACAGCGACCATGATATGATTCCTTGTTTTTTACCAATAGCAACACTATTGGTAATCTGTGGGATAAGTGTTGCTGTGCCTGTAGGACTGTGAGAGGAGGCTGTGCATTTAACCTATTTACTCAATGGGCTTGGCTCCAGCTTCAATTCAATTTCACATTCAGCCACTGAATTACTGGAAATGAAATGGGATTGACCCTGACTGAGTGACTGTAAGGAGAGAATCCGCAGGGCTAGGGGAATGTGTCAGGGATACTATGGCTTTATGCAAATGACTTGCATACAAATTCACACATACTGTCGCACAAGGGACCACCTCCTGGTCATTTAGTTTCTTTTAGGTCCTTTAGTATCTCTTTAGGGGTGAAAGTAAAAGCCAATGAGAATAGAAAATTAGGATTAAGAGAATGACCCAGGAAACACATTTAATTGCTGTCCTGACCCGAAGAGGTCAACCCTCCCCAAAATACCCTAGAGTGCACTGCTGCTGGTAGAATGACTGCTGCCCCAGCATGTGGTGTGTGAAGTCGTGCACCATAGCAGAGGAAAAACAAATAGTCCTCCACAGCAGTAAAGGTGCTCAGTGTCTGAGGAGTGTGAGGTCCAGGGCAGAAGGAATGAACTGCCTGCTCCATGAACAACTCGTCACATTGCTGGATGCCAACAAGCCATACCTTTGAAAACATGCAGGTAGGGTGTATGCACGCTACTCTGCTCGCACTGAGCCTAAAGCCTAAAGAAAAATTAAAAGTATAGTTCACCTCACATGAACATTTTTTCATCATTTACTGACCCTCAAACTTGGATGACTTTTCTGCTGTGGAACATTATGAGAAAGTCTCTGTGTTTTCATCTATCCAATAGAAGTAGATGTTTAATTATTTGCAAAACAAAAACAAAAAAATACAAATGCAAAAAATACTGAATTATTTGGTTACCAACATTCTTCAAAATATCTTATTTTGTGTTCCTCAGAAGAAAGACATATAGGTTTGGAGTGACATGAAGGTGAGCAAATGATGACAAAATTAAAACGTTTGGGTGAAAGGAAGGCAATTAAACAGTTTGTCTTGTCAAGGATGCAAATTGACTTTTTTAAATGCTACTGCAACAATATATTTATTGTGACATTATAGAATCAAGTGTGTAAGGGTTATTGCTAGCAGTGCTACAGGTATGTCTGCTTTACTAGCACTACTGCAAACATAGACTTCCCCGTTCTTTAGAAACAAAATCAAAACATTGCATTGCCCGTCTCACTGTTATAGTTTGATTTTGTTCAAATTACCTTGCAACAAGGGGTTCAAAGGTTCAAAAGGCAAAAAAATACAATGTGTATTGGGAGCAGGTGGGGGGGGGATCAAAATTGGGTTCGGACCAAGCAATTTAACCATGTGTGAATGCACCCTTATGTTTATTTGAGCACTGAATTTGTTTGGGACGAATTAGTTAGAATTGTTGTTTTGAGAAAATCTTAGAGGTCCTATCTAGATATATAAAGTAGAAGTAGAAACCTAGTCTTCAATAAACAAGGTTTTTGTGTACTAAACTTTTCCTTACTGTATGGGGACCTTCCATATTGAGGCAGAGGTTGGGAGGTGAGCGGTCAGACAGAGTATGAAGGAAAGTCAACCTAATGCCAAACGGTGCTGCCAACCTGGAACCAGGAACCCTGCTGACATTTGTGGTGTCCAGTGCCTGTAGTTTCCAGTAGACATATGATAGGGGCAGCCAGCCTCTTCCAGTCGTCCTTGGAATGTGTGTGTAGCTGAAGACACACCTGATGAAGCATACTCTGTGCAGCAGTAAGGTACACACATGCATGCCAAACCAAGAGGCCTGATAAATTGGCTTGAAGTTTCCACAAACACCCTAAGGTCTCTCCTAGAAAGAAGCAACTAAATATTTGTCTGATACTGGGTGTTACTCGTAGTTTGTTACTGTAGCTATAGTAAATACAGTAAATGATGCTCTTTGGGATGTTTTAGGCATCCAGGATCACAGAGTTACCAGTTCTTTTAAATGAGGCCTTGACTGATTTGTTTATGTTGAGGCATTCATTTGTGTCCTTGTGCTCATCTTATACAAGCTAAAGATCTGCAGCTATAAAAACTTCAACTAATCAGGAAGAGAAAGTGCACAGTTAAAACTCGGAGATACCGCAGTTTCTAAAAGTAGGTGAAATGTTAGAAACTTTGGGTCTGGTATGCGGAGAATGCTCCTTTGCCTAAAGTCATAATGTCATAAGGACGTTGTTTTTTGCAACCGAAATGTTATTTGGAGCTGAAGAGTTGCAAATTATTTAGAGAAGAACTTCAAGGCTTTTTTTGGTACATAAGATCATGTGTTAGGCCCCCTGGCCTCTTGCATTAGGCCTCTGGGACATCTTAATCCTTTTCATTTCTCAATGCTGTGATGGCCTTGCTCTGAACCCGGCAATCCTTGCTTTCACTTCCCTTTTTTTTTTTTTTTTTTTTGGCCACTCAAGTCTCTCCTTTATGCTTCTAGGCTTCTTCTGTCCATGATGGCACACACTGAGTTACATCACAATAACTGCTGTTTCTTCAGTAGACCATCTTTCTTGTGGTTTCGACCGATTTTTCTTCATTTGTTTGACTTTGACAAACGTAGCCATGCTCCGGTGGGATAGAGGGTGTTCTTGATCAGGGCTATGTTGGATTAAGCAGGGACCACCCACTCCATCCTGCAGCTCACCAAGTGCCACCCTTCTCTGGATCTAATCATTGAGAAGCTCTTCTAGAGCAAGTCCTGGTTTTACCAGTAGTCGCACATTGAAGCTATTAGAGTTGCCTGAATTAAGCCTTTGGGGCTTGGCATGAATTTGGTTGTGCAGCTATAAAGACTAGCGTACAGGGAAATGTCTTTTAAGAAGTCGGGCCTGGCATTCTTGTGGTAAGACACAGGCAGTTCCTTTACATGTTTTATGCTTTAGTTAATTTACTCGAAGGAATTTATTTTTCATGACTAATAATGCCTCATCGTGGTGGGAAATGGTGTGTTGGCATTGTCATCCACAATGAAAGAAAGACACTAAGCTATTCCTCAACAATAAAAATAATGAATAAATGATAAACGATAGACTGCTTCTACATGCAAGAAACACTCGCCTGGCCCAGGAGCCATGCATAAACATAATTTCAGACTTTGGCCCATCAGCTTTTAATTAGCAGTAAATGTCAAAGGAATGTAGCCTCTCCACAAGCAACACATTCTCCACAGGCCCTTCCCATGGGCCATTCACAGCAAACTTCCCACAGATGCCTGTTGTGTCTCATACCCACTAAATAGGAGGGAGAGCTTTGATCACGTATCCATTTAGTTGCACTAGAGGGCATCATTTCTCATTTTGGTGTCAGTGTGTGAAAGCCATTTTAAATATGTCATATGCTCTTTGGAGCCACCCACAGGGTTGCATTAAGCATTTTTCATATTTTATCTAAAAAAAAAAAAAAGATTTAGTTTGTTCTTAGTTATACAGAGCAGGAAGAAGACTCTGGTTGACTCAAGTGAGATTCCCTGTTGTGAAAATGAAAGGGTATACAAAAAACAAGTGAAACACTACCTTGTTTTATCCATGGGATATAGATGTAATTAACATGGGAAACTGGGGTAGAGCTTTTTTTCTCTGCTTGCAGGGAAACTTCTATTGTTTTAGTTGCATATTTGGTGTTGACACAAAAATCTAGGTTAGAATTTTGGTTAAATCTTGTTGTTTGACCTAAACCATTAACTGAGTGTGAATTCGCATTTGCTTTAACAGTATTATTAATGAAGAGATTCTGGATAAGTACAGACATTGCAGCGATATAAACCTGTTTTTCTAACGTTATGCGTCTGATGCATTGCAGGATGTGTTAAAGGAATGCCAGGAGCAGATTGAGAGAGTGTTGATGAATAACCTAAGGGAGGGTCGCCGGCAGCAGCAGAAACAGCAGCAGCAGGAACAGGGTGGCCCGCGCAGCAAAGCACTTGATGACCAGGACCAGTCCAGCACCCCAACCGATGTACGAGACATCAACTTGTGAGCTTGCTGCAGGAATGCTGTGATCAGTCTTCAAGAAAAGAAAAAAACAACAAAAAACAAAAATGACAAAAAAAACAAACAAACAACCCCAACAAAAAGTGCTTGCTAGTCTTTGTATAGTTTTATCTTCATTTTCCAAAAAAAAAAAAAAATACTCCCGTAAATGACAAAAAAAAAAAGAAGAAAAAAATTCTAAGCTATTTTAGATACAAAAAATAGATATTTTTAAAATGATTTGATAATGATGCAAAAAGCTCTACGGTGCCTCAGACTCTTAGAAGGGAAGCATGTAGTATTTTGCAAACTCTTTTGATTGTGTAAACATAATAATATTTAATGCAAAAGTGATAGTGTAAAGGGCTTTTCAAAATAGAGAGTCTACTGTATCAGACTGGCTTGAAAGGGTACAAAAAGTGGGGCTATGTTTTTTTTTTTTTTTCTTCCGGTTTTGTTGTGATTTTTTTTTTTTTTACTTTTTTTTTTGGTTCATTTTGGAATGCCTGAACTTGAACACACATTGATGTGCCATGAGTCTGAATGAACGCACCCATTCACTTGGCTGTGTACTAAGAATGCATTAGGACCAGAAAATGGGGATTAAAAAGGAGCTGTGAGACACAAGTCGTATGCTAAGAACGCAGGGCTCTTTTGCTAGGGCAACAGGGGCTTATATCACGACAGTAGACTATTAATATAATTTTAATACGATTATTATTATTATTCCTGTTAAACAAGAAAATTATTGTCTCTTGATGCTAATGTTACAGACACTTCAAATAAGCTTTTGTCAAGCTGCTTGTGTGCATGCATTTACGTGTGGTGTATTTTGGCTCATGTGCAAGCGTGTACAAGTTTCCCTATATCAGGCACTCTTGTGTGAGTCATGTGGGCTTTGTTTAATCATCTATCTGCGAGTGTTTGGTCATTGAGACTGATTCAGTGGTCGGCACATGGTCTGGACAGGGATAGCAAATGATTCCACGATGCTTCGAGGGCCTCCTGTATCAGTGCCTTGTTTTAAATGCTTTTATTTACTGGCCTGGAAACTGCTTGAGGGCTGAGCCCAACCCAGTGCACAGAACATGAGGAGGCAAGAAAAGGGAGCGGACGGAGACGGCTACGTTCCCTCATTTCTTCTAAAGGCAAGAAGAGTTGTTTTTAAAATTTGTGGGTAAGGTTGTCCTTTGGGGCAACCTCCCACTAAATATTAAATTTGTATTGTATACAGTTTATATTGTTATTACGTATTTTGTTGTTAGCGTGTTGAAGGAGCCTTAGGCTGATTTGTGTTTGGTCGAGAGAAGAGTCATGGACTTGTTTGCAAACAAGTGTTTGCAAATTTGATGAGCAGTAAAGGAATGTGTAGGCAAGAATGATTGAGGATGAGGATGATGATGAAGCTTGGTTAGTTTGAGGTGTGAAGCATGCTGCTGAGATGAGGATGATGATACGGAGAAGCAGGAAAGGAAGCCAAAGGAGAAACAACAGCTATTATGGTTTCCATAAATCACCTAATATTTAAGATCTTAAATCTATTTGTCAGTTTATTTGTTTGTCCTTTTTTTTTTGTCTTGTGTTTGAATTACAGACCAGTATCTAAACCAGTTTCATTGATACTGCCAGCTCATAACTGGGGAAGATTACTCCATCGGTGTCAGTTTAGTGTTGAGCGTATTTGCCATGGATAACAAAAAGGTTATGATTAAGGGGTCTTTTTTTCTTTCTTTTTCTTTTTTTTTTTTTTTGGTAGGGGGGCTGGTTTCCCATGTTTTGATAATGGCATGTTCGGTTCATTATAGCGATAAAGCATTGGAAACCAATGTATGACAACAGAAACAAAATAATAAGGCAAATTAATTTAACAAAATAAAAAAGACCAAATAACCAGACAACAAAAAGACAGAAAACTGATCAAAATGGAAGAAAATAAATTGTTTGTTGGTTTGCACGCTCCATGGGCAGTTTTCTTGAAATTTGAAAAGATTAACTTGTGCAACTGTACCATTGCAGAAATGTTTTTTTTTATATATATATATATAGTGCCTTGAGTCTGATGTGGAATTTCACCCTGTTTTGCAGAGCTTAAGCATAAGATCCACTACCAAGCCATCCAAAATATGCTGCTTCCAAATCTTGAACTGGCAAGGGATTTGAAAACTTCCAAAAGTCATTACAGTGTCCAAAAACAGGGTGCCTCATCAGCACAAAACGGCTTTCATATGCTGAATTTTCAAAGCTTACCTTGAAAAGGGGCAGTTGAGCTTAGGTTTGTGTCCATCTACATATGCGTGTGTGTTTGTGTGCATGTCTTTCTGTGTGTAAAGGAGATATCTGCGTGTACTCACACATTTCCTTTGCTGAGAAACAGTTATTAGTGATGCTTGAGTTTCGCAAGTCACGTTTCCTCCATCCTCTCACCAAAACCCGTCAATCTTATTGTATTAAATTAGTCTGTCTTAATATTTTCCCAGCTCTGCTCTGAAAATGAATTACAGTACTGTTAACAGATTGTATGGGTGGCTATGTTGTTTGACTTTGAATATGGACTGAAGTTACGTTCATTAGGGGGTATGATACTGTATTCCAAAGTGATGAGATGGAAAGGGTGTGAAGACATCAATCAAGTGTCAATATTGTTATTGAGTTATTATTGTTTTTTCCGCTGCTAAAAAGCTATGATTTTTTTTGTTTGTTTGTTTCATCTTATACACAAAAATAACATTACATAGTTGTGATGTCACATCAGTGTGCTGCTATTTTATAAACAATTGTATTATAATTATTTTACTGCTTACAGAATACTTTGAGAATACAGAAGTAGAGGGTAAAAGAAGAACATGAAATGAGTATTCGACTGGAAATGCTCTTTGTACAGTGTGCTCTTATAAAGGCATGTTTCTTTACCTTTTAGTCTTTTCCTCCTCTTCTTTCTCTGTCACATTCTGTAAGTATGGTATCTCTATACCTCAGGTTTACTGGACATGAAAGACTTTTTCCATTACCTCACACAACTCACAACAGTTTTTTTTTCGGGAACCTGGAAAGGACAGCACATAGAAGAGGTTATGATATGTCTGATGTAGTAGGCTAAATACAGTTGAATTTCGATGTACTGTAGAAAGCTTACAAGGCTCCCACCTGGACATCAGAAATAGTGGATGGAGGAGGTGACAGATGTCTGATTGACAATGTCTTGTGTACCCTTCCCATTCCAGTGAATAAAAACCTGTAAATATAAAATAAGCAACATTGAGTAAAGGACTCCTCCCTCCACTATAACCATATCATGTACCTCAGTTATGTCTGTTGCACAACCTCTGTTCAATAAATATCTGCTTTAACGAGTGTGGTGCTATGTTGGTCCTATGTTATTCTTAACCTTTTATTGGCAATGTTAATGGTGAAAATAACAACGGGAATCTATCCAGCATGTCATAACCTGGTAGAGAATGACTGCAAAGATTGAGTGTGCGTAATCAGACAGACTGGGTGAAAATTACACATTTGAACAGGTTGAACTTTTATATTCAGCCATCCGCTAAATAATTATAACTTAAATAAGTTGGAAATTGTTACAGCTGATTTATAAGAGATGAATTATAGGGTGAAGTCATTAGGGCTTGGCAATTCTGTGGATACTCTTTGGATTTCTGTTGAACTCAAATTTGTCTTTGAGAGCATGAATGAAGTTAAAGGAGAGGACATGCTGTATGCTAAGGTCAATAAAACTTACCATGAAAGAAATTCGTCTCCTCTTCTTATTTCAGTGGGCCCACTGTAGGCTATACTGTGGTAAAATTTATATTTTAATACTGAGGAACAGCTGGTGAGTCATAAAAATATCATAATTAAAATAAAATACATATGTTGACTTAATCTAATGCCAATGAGATACGGTCCAAAAGAAAACTGACAGGCAGACGTTATAAAATTTCAAAGCCCGCCACGGCCACGCGCGGCGCCACTGAGTCACTGCAGTGCAAGCTTCAGTCATGGGTGAACGGGTTATTCGTTAACGAATCATTCTTTTGAGTCGGATCTTTTCAATGATTCGGCCAGCTGGCGCATACAGTACGTGCGAAAAAAAAAATCTGAACGATTTGTTTGTGAATCGAATGTCGAACTTTAAACACACTGGAAATATCTATATGACTTAAACAGATATGACAGCTTTATCAACAAACTTACACAACAGAGTTGGTTTTAACATTTCTATTTCAGCCAAGAAAAAATACATTTTAACAATGTTTCAGGTAAGTTGCATCAAAATTAACTAGGATAAATTAAATCTAAATAAGCAACCTTATAAACAACATTTAAAAGAATAGCAAATATTGCTTAGGGCCAAGCTAAGCTACATTTTGGAAACTGAGTCGGACCTACCAGCCATGCGTACGAACTTCCGGTTCGAGTACGGTTGCTGTCAGAAGCAGAAGCAGTGCTGTCACCCATGCTGTCACCGCAAAGCAGCGTTTGAAAATGAAAGGACTGTGACAGATTCCTGGATCAATGGATGAGGATCTATAACCCCACGACGCTGTTAACTGCATCGTAATAGCTGCAGCAATGCTCGCTTTTGGTTTAACAATAGTCCGACAGTAAGTTGTCTTTTCTGTCTTGTTTGCTACCGTTACGTTGCCAACTGATAATCTGCATTATTGATTCAGTAACTCTAAATTAAAGTGACCTGATATTTTAATTATACTAAAATTAGGTCTAAATATAGCTCTGTATCAGAACGTCATGGCGTTATAGAACGGTATTAATATACATGAGGTCTGTCTGACATTTAGTAGAGTTGAAATATGCAAGTGAGAATTTAGTTTAAACTTTACTGGGCTCATATCATATTTCTCCTGTCCGTTGTAACTTGTGTTTAAGGGCAATCCGAATCCTCTTCCAGTGAAAGGTCAGAGGCAAACTTGGTGTAACTCCAAAAACACCAAAAATATGTCCTGCCCTCACTGCCCATGTAACATTATAGTAATTTAAGTTATTTAGTCTGTTGTCTTCATTGCTAGAGGTTTTTTAGAAATTCATTACAGTCTACAAGAATAAACGTGTGAAGTTAGTAACACCAATGGTCACAATTATAATTAGGGGGTTTCTTGAATTATTAAAATGATTGGTTACAACTGTGTGCTGGTTGGTAATAAAGTTTTTATTGATCACTACTTTTTTGGTTTATTAGTGGTGAGACGCAGTGCAACAAAGATGGCATTTTACAAGGTAATTTTTTACAGGGGGAAAACTGTTATCCATATCAGTAGGCTACCCTGCATTTATTTCAGGCATTAAGTATTACTTTTTTTTTTTTTTTATCTCAGCACATGCTCCACAAACTATAATTTCTTTACATTTAGGTCAGAAAATAGACTCACCGCTTTCTGAAATTGGGATACGTCAATCTGAGGCTGCTGGCCAGTACCTCAGGGATGTAAAATTCACAAACGTGTTTGTCAGTGACATGAAACGTGCCAAGCAGGTAAGCAGAAACATACTAGTTCAAGTTTAGTAGAAACATACACGTTTGCACAAGTAGAGAGAAATGTTTCTCCCCAAAATAAAATGAACTCTTTTTACGTTATTCTGTTCAGTTCTCATGTGGGTATAGCTGTAATTCATGTTTCCCTGGATAAGAGTCAGCAAGCATTGAAGCGATATACCTATGTGAGTCTATTTTGAACCTGATAAAGAAACTGTCAATAATTGTCACACCATAAGTTAACAGACAAGATCTGTTAATTTGCATTATGCAACTGTTGCAAATGTTATTGTTATAATGTTGCACATGCCCACTGAAGTTATAATCATATCTAACTAGTGTGTCCTATTGGTTTCTTGTAACAAATATCACTTTCCTTGTGTGTATTCATTATAGGATGAATAATCATGTTTTTTGTTGTTCTTTTTTGTAAAATTACAGACTGCAGAGATCATTGTGAGAAACAACAAAACCGGCCATGATATAGAACTAGTAGCAGATCGATCACTTAAAGAGAGAGTAAGTAGAGTACTGCTTGCTTGATAATATTAGAAAAATGTCTTTTCATATGCATCTCCTCAGAACTATTTTTTTCCTCCAGAGATTTGGTGTAGCTGAGGGAGGTCGAGTCATAGAAATGAAAAACATGGCTAAAGCAGCCGGGCAGCCTTTACCAGAGTTCACTCCACCTGAGGGAGAAACCATGGAGCAGGTAAAATAAATGGCACTTATGTCAACAAAAAAAAATAATAGTCAGTATAGCTGGTTTGTGATGAAAGAAAACAGACACACTAAATGGCAACACTATACAAAACAGGAGTTTATATTTTTAAATAATATAATATAAAAGTCCATGTCCTATGTCCCATGTATTTAATATAATATTTTAAAACGAATTTTGAATGATCAATAAATAAAAAACAGATTTAGTGTCCAGTTCATCACATTTTCAACAAAAAAAACAAATATAATTGTCATCCTAAACTTCTGTTTACTTTAAATGAGTTAAATGAGGGGAAAAAAATAAGTTATTTTTACTATATATATATATATATATACAGTATATATATATACATAAGATTATATTCATTTCAGGTGAAGGTGCGAATCAAGGATTTTCTCAAGGCTATGATGCAGCGAATAGTTAATGACCATCAAGACAAAGTACAACATGGTGGGATATCCATATCAGATGAAACCAGTTGGGCTCCTGCAGGACTCCCAGATGACGGAGTCTTGAATGTTTCTGTCCATGTCTTGGTTGTCGGCCACGGGGCTTATATGAGCATAATGATGCGCCATTTTTTTGAGGACCTGAAGTGCCCCATGGGCCGTGGTTTAGACCCAGCTCAACAGTTTTCCATCTGCCCGAACACCGGAATGTGCCGTTTTATTATCACTTTGAAATGTAGTAATGCGGGTTTTGCGTTTTCAGACATAAAATGCGTGTTCATCAACAGAAGAGATCACATCAAGACTGATTGAGATCTGATTCATCATACAGAATTATGTAATATCACTTTTAGAAAGACAACCTTTACAAATATCTCATTTGATTTTACAATATAACTTCTGAATCCTATATTGTATACCATTCAGACACTGGCAGTATTAAATATTGTTTTTTCGAAGATTTCGAAGTGTTTGTGTGTATGTAAGTTATTGATTTACTTTTAAATGGTATAAACGTGTAAATGTTAACTAAATAAATGTCATACATCTATGTTGTTGTGTTTATATATTGCCAAAGGTGACAGCAAAGTCACTTCATCTTTAGGTTTTAGCTCTAAGAACTTATTGGAATGATATTTTAATGTAGTTAAAGAAATGTAAAAAAATAAAACATAAAAATTACAGCCCATTGCACCCCCATTTGACCATGCTTCAATATCTGACGCTTTAGGCGCCCTTTAGCGTCAGTTAAATGACGCCCTAGCATCGCGTGTACCCTACCCCCACCCCATACCTGAACCTAACCGCGTCCTCTAACTGACGCTTTCCTTTAAAACGTCAAATATTGAAGCATGGTCAAAGGTGACGCCTTGGGGTGAGAATGCGTTGAAAATAAGCATAATTTACATAAAAAATATGGTACTTTTTGAAGTTAATCAATTCAAAAATACCCCCAAAATAAAAAAAAACACCATAAATGGATAGACAAAACTTTATCGAAGACAGTGATATAACATTTATAATAAGTAAAAATTAGGATCACACCTAAGTCCTCTGTGCCCACATTTGTCCACAATTACAGGATTAAGGGCTATAAAGTAAATACGGTTTGAGGGCTACGTGACCTTTTTAGGGTGTAATTATGTGTGTACAACTGTGTACAATGTGCTGGTTATCATCTTTGAGCTAGGCTCACAAGTATCTTAAATTGTCACCACCGAAACATGCCATCATTATTTTGGTAGTGACAAAAGGGAACACATAATAATTTATTTGGGAAAATCAGTAATGTGATGTGGTCGCTTCCAAAACATTACTGTGACTACTGAAAATGTGCCGTCACAATCGACACATGCATGTTTTTTTCTACAATAAAGTATTCTGAATTATCATCTAAGATGTTTGACTCTAAAGGTAAATCTTCGGTTAGGGTTAGGGTTGCCTAAAGCGTCGGATATTGAAGCATGGTCAAAATGCCTTCCACCATTAATCTTGAGATCTAAAATCTTGTTTCAAAATTTAAAAAAGTATCCTTACCTCACAAACATATGCCTATGATTGTTTTTATATAATGTGCTGGGAAACTTGTGAGAAATTAAATCTAAGAGATTTAATGGTAAAATCTGACACTCATGTCATAACATAAAACTTTAACAAGAACAGGAACAAAAAATACATTTTATTGTTTGTATGGAATTTTATTTATTTATTTATTTATTGCTAAATGAATTATACATTATAATCAATATGAATCCTGGTATACAATATGAAGATTTCCTGAAAAGATTGTTTAATTTAAGGGTATTATGAAACTAAAACACTTTCATTCACATTTTATAAATTGAAATTTGATTTTATTTTTGATTTAGATTAAAGACATTAATATAAAATGTAATAAATAAAAACGTATCAATTCTTCTTCAATAAATAATTCAGTAGAGGTGGCCAGCACCATCTCATATGTTTGAAACTAGCCCTACTGTCGACATGAAATAAAATGATTCAAATTGCAGACTCCAAACATTGCAAGAAAATAATTGCCAAATGCATGTGATTCCTAGTATTTCATGATATTACCTACATCAATCAATGAAAAAGGTTCTTGCACAGTTCTGATGAAAACAACATTATTGCCGCAGCATTGCAGAGTAGTTTAAATTTTAACTGGCTTGAAAAAGGTGAAAGGACTGACAAGCAGTGACCTAAACTAGCCTCACTCACTGAGCTGAAAAAGAGGCCATGGATTGCATCAGTTGCAGCTGGTTGTTTGTTTCCATGGAACCATTTGCTTTCTTAACCTTACATTTAGAAGTTCTTCAGATCAGTGTATTGTTTGTTTTTAGGTAGGCTATCATCCAAAAAGGGAACCATCCAATGTAGTTTAATTCACAGATGGTTTTCTTTGGCATGAGGCTGTGAAACCCATAAAAGGAACCTAATTTGTTCAGAATGGATCAGATGGTGCAACGTGCATATTTTTCTTTCCTTTTTGTAAATTTGGACTGACTGGGCTCTTGGAAAGCAGTACGTGTAAAGGGTCATCATAGGAAGTGATGGTCTCTTTAGAAACATTACTGCTGCGCTCGTGCTCTCGCTCTCGCTCTCGATGTAGTCTTCGATAATTGGTGGTTTTTGACTTGGGGTTCTCGAATCCCAAAGGATCAGATGGGTCAATATTTTGGCTTCTTCTCTGCCTGAGATGTGTTTTATGGTTGTTTGATTGCAGAGAAAGTGGCAATTCTGCACTATAAGCCTCAGTGTGGCTTATAGCTCCAAAAAGCTTGATCATTGCGTCACTCCTCCGTGTAGATTGATAGGAATTCTTTCTTTGAATTGTTTTAAAGCAGTCCTTATTAATGACATCAACCTGAGGATATCAAACGTCATTTATTGAGAAAAATAATGTTTCGGGATTCTTTGATGAGCAGAAAGTTCAAAAGAATAGCATTGATTTGAAAAATAAATCTTTTGAACCATTATAAATAGCTTCGCTGTCTCTTTTGATCAATTTAATACCTCCTTGCTCAATGAAAGTGTTAATTTCTTACCAATTCTTATTAATTAAAAAAAAAAAGTTCTGTAATTAGGAATTGGAATTTATTGTTATTAGTATTTGTTATTCAGGGCTTTTAGCCATAATGCAGTTATGCTTATTAATCCATGACATGGTAATTATGATAGCAAATGTCATATCAAAAGTATAGCAAAAGTTATACAAAAGGTAGCAAAGGTATCAATAGCTGTAAAATTAGGTATTTATTTTTTTATTAATATTGATTTAAAAAAAACTCATACTTACTGAAATATGTGGCTTTTTGGTTGTTTCCAAACACATTATATTATTATTTTTTAAAACAAATATTGAAAAGAAATCCTTGCTTCTTTTCTTCGGTAAAATGTCTCCTTTATAAAATAAACTAGAGTCAGTAATAATATTAAAAGTAAAAATATGTAGATTCAGTTTATGTAAAAAAAATTAACTTACCTTTTGAGTGTTGATGAATGGCTTTCCCCATCCTATTACTAAATTGAATCATGAGGAAATTGCTGCTGATCTTGGCCTCCATATCTCTCAGATTTTCACATATTAAATCTGTTTGGATTTTTTCCTTTTGTATTGGATGACAAGTTATTAGTGTGCAGATGGTTACAGCTGCCAGACAGAGAAGATGAATGATGTGCATGATCAGTCTGGATCAGGCAGAGCTCAGGATACAGTGAGGCATCTCACTGCTGGCTTATATAACTGGGGGAACATTAGTTCAAAGGTCATGTTTACCAACTAAGAACTTTAGGCTACTGTTGAGCAAATGCAACTGGCAGTTGTAACCGGATTATTTTACTGTCAAGTGATCCTAGGTATCCAAATTAAGGTTGATTTGGGAATTTTAAATATTTTTACATCTTTTAAGTTATAAAAGTCTGAAATTGTTATTATACCACACATTGTTAGCATAGTAGGCTTGTAGCCCTAACATTACATTAGGCTAACATTAGCATAGTAGGCTTATAGCCTGTAGGTGGTCATTATTGCGTTTGCTTGTAAAACCTATTGAGCTCTTTGAAAGCAAATTTTCTTGGTGGAAGGCAAAGTTTTTGAAAGGGAACGCAAAGTTTCTTGTGGAAAACGCAAAACTTTAACGAGATAACGCAAAAGCATTGACATGCTATATTTTTTCCTCCATCTGATATTTATTTTCTCTTCACTAGGTTAAGAATAAAGTATTACAGGGTCGGCGCTATGGTGGGGCATTCGAGGGCCGTGCCCCCCCTAGCGCTCATTGATGCCCCTCCTACCACAGTTTCTAAATCATAAATCAGATGTAGGCTATACAATACCAAATGTTTAGCAATCTATTTAAATAGTACATTGTGTTTAATTTGTTGTCTAAGTGGATCTAATATGTGTTGGTGCCAAGAATTTTCACATGAAGAAATAGATATATCCAATCCGACTTTTCATTGTAAGTGCTGTAGTGGTCCAGTGGTAAAACCTTAGACTGGAGTGCTAGAGATTTTGGGTTCTAACCCACACTCGCATAATTATTTTTTTTCCCCCATCATTAAAACCGATTATGTTTATCAGTGGTTGTCAAGCAGGGACATGTTTGAGTGCATTTTACTTTGGATTTCACCGGTACGAATAGAGATTTCGCCGCAACAGATCAAGCGCGCGTCCGTGTGAAGATGTTTATTGTGGCAGCGCGAGCCACAAGAGAACACTTCAGCACCACAGTCACCGAGCACTTTGATCACTTGATTTAAAAACCAACACATTTCAGCGTGCTATATCGCCTCTTATTTAACAAATGAATGCTCTGCTAGGTAACCGGATATGTTTTATTTATTTGTATTGGTAGGCTACATCGATCCGTGCCGCGAGATCGAGATGTATAAAAGTGCTGGGTCAACATCGACCCTGGCAAAAAGTGGTGGGGAAATTCGCAAATAATAATTATAAATAATAATTATAATAATAAAAGGTGTTTCGTTTTTTTTTTTTTTTTTTTTTTTTTTTTTTTTGCGTCAAAATATTTCTTAAACGGCAGTGCCACCCCGCTGATGACCCAATGCCCCTCCAGTAGATCTGCTCTGGCGCCGACTCTGAAGTATTATAATATATATTTCAATGCTTTTTTTGTTTTTTCACAAACAATTTGCGTTTCCCTCCAAAACAGTAGTTCGGCGGCAAAACCTTTGCTTCCACTCGTAAAATGTTCGCAATCACTCGTGTTCGCAATTCGCCCTAGAGAAAATTTGCGTTTGCTCACAAAGCACTCAAAAGTGCGAGCGAATGCAAAGTTTCTTGGGGTAATGCAAAACATTTTCGAGGGAACATATTGTTTCTCGGAGGAACGCAAATCATTTGCAAGAGAACATTTTTGCAACCATTTTACTTATTGGGTGAAATCAGCAAAAGTGGGACATCAGCTAAAATGGGACAAATCAGCCCGTTCTCATCCCAAGACGTCTAACTGACGCTTTTGACCATACGTCAACATCCAGCGTTTTAGGGTACCCTTTAACGTCAGTTAAATGACGCTATATCCTAACCCTACCCCAGACCTAAACCTACCAGCGTCTTCTAACTGACGCTAAAGGGTACCCTAAAACCGTTAAAGGGTACCCCTGTTTGCGTATGGTCAAAAGCGTCAGTTAGATGACGTCTTTGGATGTGAATGTGAAGCTTTTTGTAGTATCTTAAAAAATGCTTTAAATTTAAATTCTAATATCAATCTACAATATACATTTTTATTTCCTATGTTCATGTGATAATTCAACTTTATGCAATGATGTGCACGTTTCTTCGTTCTATTTTTTTAAATAAAGTTTACTGTCCCAATTTTCCTGAACGTGTTAGTTAAAATGGGACAGTATAGCATTCAGCTAAAGTGGGACATCCTATAAAGAATTTAAAAAAGATGCATTACTTAATATGATAAATTGTTTTCAGAAAATGGCATAAAGCTATAGGCAGAAAGGGAAAAATTTTGTTTTTAAAAAATGTATTTTAGGTAAAAAATAAAGCACAATTCACATTTCGGACTTTGACCACATGAGGAGGTTCTAACCCAATGAATACCATCCACTTTTTTAGTGATAACTCAAACTAAATCTTAAAAAACAGGGGGATTTTTTTTTTTTGGAGATAAACCTTATGGGGCCTAAAATGTGTCCCACCTTATGTGGCCCTAAAATGTGTCCCACTTTAGGGGTCTAATATGTGTCCAACTTTACCAATTGCACTGTCCCAATTTTCCTGAAAATAGTAGTAGAGTAAAAATGGTTTCTTATCATTTTTAAACACACACATACACATTTCTTTATAAAACAGTTGGAGAGAGACCTTGAGCATTTGTTTAAAACATTTAATATATAAATATTTTTTAATACACTGTTTACTAAAAAGTGTCCCAATTTTGCTGACTTCACCCTTGTTGTTGTTGTTTTTTATTTACTATACATTTGTTTGTTTCTGTGCATAAACAGGCATATAAAATAAAAATTTAAATAAACAGGATGGTAATTTTACGTAAAAATAACACAAAATTAAATAAGATTCTCATGCATTTCGTATTTTGACCACACGAGGAGGCTCTAACCCAACAAATTCTATCCACTTTTTTTATGATTACTCAAACTAAATCTTACATGTAGGCCTACCTGAGTAAACAAAACCAAATGATTAAATCACAATTAAAATAAACTGCAAAGACAAAAACTAAAAAACAACCTTTTATTTTCATTTCAGTAATACAGTTGGCTGCTGTGCACAGCACCTTAGTATAAAAATAAAAGGAAACATTTTCTTAATATATTAGGATTCTTACTAATTTTTTTTCTCTTTTTACATTTTTTCTTTACAGAGAACAAAATGATTGGCAAAAAGTTTGTTGTCTCCAACAAATCGTACAGTCATTTCAACAAATTGGAACTAAGGCAGAAGGTGAGGTATATGTTAGAAAATATGTGGGGAATTTGGAGGGGGTCTGCCCCTCAGTGCAGGAATACAAAACTGAGGAAAAACAAAGGCTGCATACGTACAAGGACACGCACACATGCACTACCCCTTACAATCATCTCACAAGCCACAAACAGCGCCATTTCAAAGCTGGAGACAAAGTACACTACAAAGAAACTGGTGGAACTTGCATGAGAAATAGCTGTTTCTGTATAAGCACTTAGTTTAGAGGGCCTAACTTCTAGATACAACATTTCCGTCCCATATTTTGCATTAAAAACCATGCAAAATTATATTCAGAAATGTGACAGAGGACAGGGTACAGTGAAGATACATATAAATAAATTAACATCAGTCATCACATAAAAAGCAGACATTTTGACAGTTTCATTAAAGACATAACATTGCATGCCATTTTCGGGGTACAAAGAATTTGAAATCTGTAGTTGTCATTCATAATAGATAGATCACATTATCAACATAGCTGAAAATCTCTCTTTACCCAAAACACTCACAAAAAATGACCATACCATATTGTTTCAGTTTTGCTTAGTTCACTCTGAAAGCAAATGAAAATTCTGTCATTATACTCACCCTCATGTTGCTCCAAACCTGTGAAACATAATTTTAAATTGAAAGTCAATGGGGTTCAAAACAACATTTTTGGACCCCATTGACTTTCATTGTGTGAACACAAACGTTCTTCAAAGTATGTTCTTTCGTGTTCCACAGAAGAGAGAATGTCACAGAGGATTGGAACGACATAAGGTCAGAAATCTTAATTTTTGGGTGAACTATAACTTTAAAGAAAATGTCTCACACACACTCCACGAGAGTACTGTAAATATTAGTGTACTATCAGTGTACTGACTCAAACATCCCAGCCATAACTGTTATATAAAAAAAACACCCTTCTCCTTTGTAGCATTAACATGTATAATGTCTGAACTGCAACCTAAATGGAAAATTAATGGATTATCTTACTGTAAAAAAAAAGAAAAGTTGCTGCCTTAAATTTTTAAGTACAATCAACTTAAATCATATTAACTTGAAAAAAATAGTTGAACTTATACAAAATGTTGAAAATTGCTTAACTTATTTTGACGAGTTAAAGCAATGTAAAAACATGTTGTCATGACTTATTGATCATATCATTTTTTAAAAGTGTAATAATAATTTCACATTATTTGAATTGAAAGGAGTTTGCTATTCCTTTAATTCTAGAGTTTAAAAAAAGTGGGGAGACATTGTAAGTGAGGGAAGGGGAATGCCCAATACCGAAGTTCAATTCAATTTCAAGTACAACCAAATTCTCTAGACAAAGTCAACTGAATTGGGGAATTCAAGAGTGTGCACAGGTGTTTGGGTCTATGCCTGGTATTCAAACATAAAGTAACGAGCAAATTATGTTATCTCGAACAGATTAAGACGGTTGTATTGGTTTTTACATTCCAAAGACTTTTTAAAGGAGGAGTTCAAGTATGCAGTCAAGATGTTGGTGAATGAGCCCTCACTGGAGATCACTGACTGTAGAGGTAAAACAGAGACACCACTGACTAGTATCATCTAATGATTGAAGTAAAATGAGAGGTTTCCTTATCACTAAGCAACAGCTATGCTTTCATATAATCGTGCCACATGATTCAAGATGAATGCAATTCTGTGCATTTCACTAGCTTGATCTCTTTTCACTATTCATTCAAATAGAAGCACCCAAACTATACAGGTCTAGCCGTCCACAGGCTTTCAGTCAAATTCTGACCTTGAGGCATCAAATGGCCTTCTCCAAGTTGAACTCCCAATAAGTAGGCTAATCCGTTTTTAGTTATTGATTTAAAAAAGGAACAAAAACCTCTTTCTTGCATGCACAAAAGGAGGCAAAATAGCAGAGGCTAAGGCACCACCTAATCATGAAAAAGGAGTAACTACAGAAAAATAAGTGCTTTCATCTCCCTCGTAAAATGGCGCAACAGATGAAGATCAGAGTAAACTGATATTTATTTTTCCCTCCCTAAGTTTTCCAATGCGGACGTGGCTCTTTGAGGTAATGAAAAGTGTCCATTTCACTTCTAAAAGCTAAGGATGTTAGTCCAACGCCAGGTATGGTTTACGCCAGTTATGGCAAGCACCCATAAAAAGTGAGAGGGCAAAAAAAGCTCCTCGACTCTCGTATATTCATAATAGAAATCATAAGCAGCAAAGAATGGCATGTACACAAAGTTCAGACACAAAGTAAGCTACCGAAATATACATATATTATTATTATTATTTCTATGAGAATAAATAGCGTAAGTGTTATTTTAGTTCTTTGCAGTTCACCTCTTAGCATGTTTGGGTTACCTACGAGAACATCCAACATGTGCAAATTATTGTGTTATTGCCAGTTTTGCTCATAAACGTGGGAGGAAATGTGTGACAGTCATTGCTGGGGAAGCCTTGTAGCCTCGCTTCAAGCGGCCATGTTTGCTGAGGGCAATATAAAATCCCTTGTAAATGGAAGACTCGTATGCATTGTAATTGTTGGGCAGCAGCGTCTCCTTGAACTTGCACTCGTCATGGAAGGCCCTCTAAAAAAGGTATGGATTAGATAGTTAGTTTGGTATCCTCCTTCTAAGCTCCATCACATCCTCTCAATATACATCTAAACTCACAGATCAATGGTTCATCTTAAATAAATAATGATCTAACTAACAAAAGTGTTGCTCTAAAAATCCAGGCAACTCATTTCCAGTTTTCTTAGAAGCTTCAAAACTCCTCAATGGGAATTAATTTTTAAACTTTCACCGTCATCACATAACATACACGTGAATTCAAGGTTAGATCCGTTTTCAAGGCCCATTCGCTTTTTAATGGAGATGCCAGTCAGCTGAACATCGGGAAAGCAAACTTTTTCAGTTTGTCTTTATAATGGATCTCTGAAATTGCCAACAGAATCATTCTTTGCTATGCTTTAAGGTCACAATTTATCTTTGAAAAAAAAAAAGACTGAAGCTAATTAATAATTTTTACTAGGACAGGATTTATATATATATAAATATATATATATATTTATACATATATATTTGTAATATTATACATATACAAATGTAGGCTATACATGGATCATTTGTATTATGTTCGGATAACTTCTGCCTTACAACAATACAGCTTTGTTCCATCCTTATTTTGTTTTCTTTCTCTCTTTTTTAACGGCAGTGTGTGTGAATTTTGACTTTGACAAGAAGACCACGTTGTTACAAAGGTTGAGAAGCACTTTTACTGTCTGCCATCAAAAGATAATGTGTTACTCATGGCGAGATCAGGCATCTAAGTAATGCAAGTTGAAAGCAGGTCAAAATTTCTTTCAAGCTATGCACAACATCACAGTCCACTGCTCATATGAGAACAGTAATGAAAAATGAATGACAAGCCAATATATTCAATGAATCATAAACTAGGCCTACAGCTGAGGAATCCAAAAAACGGAAGCAAATGACATATTCCATTCAGGCAATGATGCTCATATTTGAATGCACTTCAAATTAATCAAACACGGCAAAAAAAGGAAATTCATGTATTTGGGACAATCTTTTTTCCGTCTGAATGCAAGTTTTTCAAATATAGCCATGCTTTTTATTTCAGTCTTCTGAATCATTAGGCCGAACTGTTCGGGAACCGTTAGGCTACATTTGCATTTCCATATGTGCACGTTTCGGCACGGTAAGATTACAAAACATTCAGTTTGATGGTTGGATTATGGTTTTCTAGCTTCTACACGCTTTTCGTAGCCTATCATATAACATATATACGTACATTTACGAGAATTTATATTTCAGTTTTACAGCCAATGTCGAAATTAAAAACATTTAATTTAAAGTTAAACATTTCTGGTGGTGTTTTGATCTTTAATGAAAGTATTTAGTTACTTTTTACTTAATGGTTACACCACTTGACATTTCAGAACAAACATACAAGCAAACGAACAAATAATAATAATAAACAATAATGTTTATTATTATTATTATTATTTATTTCTTTTATGGCATAGGCCTACAAAGACTAGCCTGTTAATTCTAAGAACTTGGCTCTAATATGAAAAGATCAGCATTTTTATCACCTAAACCAGATAAATCCTTATTTGTCATTGACCCATTTAAAACCGCAGTAAAACTGTGGCGTTCTCTGCACAAAAAAAATGAAATCAAACGACAGGCATACCTACCGTTCCATATAACCTTCCGCGGCTGCTCATTGCGACAAACATCTCGCTTTTCACCCCGTATAGAGTAACCACTCCTCTCTCTACCGCTGAGATTTCAATGAGACCTGATTGAACAGAACATCAGTGTTACATACATGACAATGTGGCACACGGCTCATTTACTCATTCTGCGGGATGCGTTCTGCACAAGCCTTTGTTCTGCATTTTTTCGCATGCTGGCTAATTTTTTTATACAGTGACATGGAAAAAAAAGCCCTGCAGATTTGGCATGTATGACAAGCTGATGGACGCTGTGTAAAATTAGTTGCCGTCTAAAATTGTCCAAGCATTCGTGTCATGTTTGAGCCTCGAGAAACTCGGCAGTGATTGACACAAGGGTTTATTTTAAAAGATAGGCCTATGTCATTGCTTTAGGGCACATGCAATAATAATAATTATTATTTGAAATAATAATTATATGGCAAATAATAAAATTTATAATAATATATATTTTAAATGTATAAATATAATATTATAGCCCATATAGATCTATAGGCCTATTTTGAAATTAAAATAATAATAGAGCTGTGCATTCAGTCCTTCTGCATCCCTGCTATAACGTGTCATGCATGCCATTCTGGATGCAACTCACTGTACGGGTTCTCATTATGGACACCGTTGATCTTTCCGCCTGGCAGGACCTGCAGGTGAAACCCGATGCCCACATTGCAGTACAGCCTCCGCACTCTCTTAATGCCCAGCAAATAGTCACTCTCCCAGTTCAGGTCCGATTTCTCCACCGAGATCCCCAAAACGGAGCGGGAGAAGAGCGTCTCCCACCTTTTCTCCAGTGGAGTTGCATTAGTCCTGTTCGAGGTGGGGTAAGAGGACACGATCCCAAGCAGAAAGCCCAGCAGAACAACCGCAGTCCACGTCCAGCGCCCGCTGCTCTCGAACATACTGATGAGGAACCTTTGCGCAGTGGCCATCCGGTTTACCCTCGGGGCACGTGGTCAAAATTAATGCCCCTAAAAATACCACTCTTGTTTTTCTTCTTTCGGCATGGTGGCAGGGGCTTATTTTTGGAAGGCAGGTCGGGGCTGCAGGCGTGTAACATAATAAGCCCCTCGGTAGATGAGAAGAGCAGGGCGGCAGAGCTTGAGCTGGTGGCGGTGGTGGTGGAGATGATGATTACCATGTTTCACCTCTCTGGATGGAGAGCACCACACCACTCACCAAAATACAAGCTCACCTTGCCTAGGAGATCTTCGGGATGACATCACTCACCTTCAGGATGACATCACGCTGACCTCATCGCGACCGGCGGGGTCAGTTTGAACGCGAGAACCCAATCGCTGTCGATCCACGCGAGCGGCCCCGGGGACAGTGAGCGCGAGAGTGCGTACGTGATGATGGGCTTCGTTGGCAGCTCCCAAATTGGACCTGTGGTCATATGCCCGACGGGCCGCTTCCTTATTTAGAAGGAAGGTGTCGAAACAGGCCAGTTGTCACCGCGGGCCCATGTCAATCTCGCAAAACACTTCCTGCGCTGTTTGCCCAGGAAGCTTTCACTAAGATATATTTTGAATATGACGTGATTTATTAATCTGGGTAAAACACATAGGCTAGTTGGACGCACGTCCGAGCGCGAGCTGAACTCCTTTGATCGCTAACATAGATAGATAGATAGATGGATGGATGGATGGATGGATGGATGGATGGATGGATGGATGGATGGATGGATGGATGGATTGATTGATTGATTGATTGATTGATTGATTTTTACACCTGGCAGGTAGCCCAGACAAAAATAAAAGACAGTATGTGTCCAGCAGGTGGCGCTGTATCATAATGTTGCAATCAAATAACCAATTTAAGAAATAACACCCTTATTGGTGTCAAGCATTTTTTATACATTTTCTTTTGACCATTTATGCATAATTCTGCACGTAATAATATAGCACGTAATCATTTTCTATGAAGCACCAATATCATATAGTATAGGCTACAAATGCAATATATTTGTTAATTACCTTTAAGATTATTTTAAAGGATTAGTTATTTCCTTGGGGATTAGTTATATTTAAGACTCAACACTTCTCAAATTTAATTTACCTAAATCAGTCGAAATGTTAAGTTATGTAAATATTCGTTTATAATTGAAGTCAACCTTGCAGGGAAAAATACGTTTCGGAAATATCAACATTAATTTGGAAATATCATGTAATAAAAGGCAAATACAGTGAGAAGACAACCAGATGAGTACGACCAGTATATGGTATCATTGCCCAATCCCTGCTTCTTTATATTTGTTTTGTTGTCTATAAAGTAATGAATAAACCATAAATAAAACTGAGTCAGACAAAATCCCTAGGGATGCTATGATAAAGCTCAATGCAATTTGTTTTTTCAATGCAAAATCCTGACCCATTTATCTACAGCATTAATTGTCAAAACACTTCAGAAGTCTAATTTATGGAACAAAAGAGAATGTTAAGTAGTTGCAGGAGGCAGCATCATGTCACTTGAGTGCTGAAACTGCATCCACTTTATAATATGCCACTGTACTAATTTAAAGCCTCAAAATGTGTTTACCCTATTTTTAATTGAAAGGTTGGTTGTATCCGCTGTTTACATATAAGATTAATCAAACACCAATTACCCATTCAGGAACAGACTGAAACATTTTTGAGCGTGCGTTTTTTTCTCTCTAAAATGACAAATACTTCATTCAGTGACTTTAGACACTTGCAACTAAAGTTGTGTTTTGTATTTATTTTTTGTTTTACAGAATTTATTTATAGATTTGTCAGCCAGTCAACTCTGGAGGGAAAAATCCAATGAGTGAGAAAGCAAGATAAAAAATTCAGAGAAATTTCTGAAATATGAAAATTGAAATTCTGAAACCCTTTCAGAGCTGAGATATTGAGATCCCACGTAGCATTTATGCCACTATAAAAATCTGAATAAGCTCTTGAAGGGTCTAGAGCCTCCATTTTTGCACTCAGGTCTAAGTCCCATGGCACTCTATCAGAATCCAGAGTTTCAAGAAGATCAGAGAAACTTATTTTTTCGCACAAAAAAAAAAAGAAAGGGGTACCACTGTCGTTTTTTTTCGTTTACGGGTGAAAAATTAAGTTTCTCCAATCTTCTCAAAACTCTGGATTCTGATAGAGGGCCACGAGACTTTGACCTGAGTGCAAAAATGGAGGCTCTAGACCCTTCCAGAGCTGAGATATCAAATTCAAATTTCGACCCAAAAAAAAAACGACAGTGTTACCCCTTTCGTTTTTTTTCGTTTTCGGGCGAAAAATTAAGTTTCTCCAATCTTCTCAAAACTCTGGATTATGATAGAGGGCCACGAGACTTTGACCTGAGTGCAAAAATGGAGGCTCTAGACCCTTCCAGAGCTGAGATATCGAAATTCAAAATTTCGACCCGAAAAAAAAACGACAGTGTTACCCCTTTCGTTTTTTTTTTCGTTTTCGGGCGAAAAATTAAGTTTCTCAAATCTTCTCAAAACTCTGGATTATGATAGAGGGCCACGAGACTTTGACCTGAGTGCAAAAATGGAGGCTCTAGACCCTTCCAGAGCTGAGATATCAAAATTCAAAATTTCGACCCGAAAAAAAAAACGACAGTGTTACCCCTTTCGTTTTTTTTCATTTTTGGGCGAAAAATTAAGTTTCTCCAATCTTCTCAAAACTCTGGATTATGATAGAGGGCTGTGAGACTTTGACCTGAGTGCAAAAATGGAGGCTCTAGACCCTTCCAGAGCTGAGATATCGAAATTCAAAATTTCGACCCGAAAAAAAAAAACGACAGTGTTACCCTTTCGTTTTTTTTCATTTTCGGGCGAAAAATTAAGTTTCTCCAATCTTCTCAAAACTCTGGATTATGATAGAGGGCTGTGAGACTTTGACCTGAGTGCAAAAATGGAGGCTCTAGACCCTTCCAGAGCTGAGATATCGAAATTCAAAATTTCGACCCGAAAAAAAAACGACAGTGTTACCCCTTTCGTTTTTTTTTTTTTTTCGGGCGAAAAATTAAGTTTCTCCAATCTTCTCAAAACTCTGGATTATGATAGAGGGCTGTGAGACTTTGACCTGAGTGCAAAAATGGAGGCTCTAGACCCTTCCAGAGCTGAGATATCAAAATTCAAAATTTCGACCCGAAAAAAAAAACGACAGTGTTACCCCTTTTGTTTTTTTTCGTTTTTGGGCGAAAAATTAAGTTTCTCCAATCTTCTCAAAACTCTGGATTATGATAGAGGGCCACGAGACTTTGACCTGAGTGCAAAAATGGAGGCTCTAGACCCTTCCAGAGCTGAGATATCGAAACTCAAAATTTCGACCCGAAAAAAAAAACGACAGTGTTACCCCTTACGTTTTTTTTTCATTTTCGGGCGAAAAATTAAGTTTCTCCAATCTTCTCAAAACTCTGGATTATGATAGAGGGCTGTGAGACTTTGACCTGAGTGCAAAAATGGAGGCTCTAGACCCTTCCAGAGCTGAGATATCGAAATTCAAAATTTCGACCCGAAAAAAAAAACGACAGTGTTACCCCTTTCGTTTTTTTTTCATTTTCGGGCGAAAAATTAAGTTTCTCCAATCTTCTCAAAACTCTGGATTATGATAGAGGGCTGTGAGACTTTGACCTGAGTGCAAAAATGGAGGCTCTAGACCCTTCCAGAGCTGAGATATCGAAACTCAAAATTTCGACCCGAAAAAAAAAACGACAGTGTTACCCCTTACGTTTTTTTTTCATTTTCGGGCGAAAAATTAAGTTTCTCCAATCTTCTCAAAACTCTGGATTATGATAGAGGGCTGTGAGACTTTGACCTGAGTGCAAAAATGGAGGCTCTAGACCCTTCCAGAGCTGAGATATCGAAACTCAAAATTTCGACCCGAAAAAAAAACGACAGTGTTACCCCTTACGTTTTTTTTTCATTTTCGGCGAAAAATTAAGTTTCTCCAATCTTCTCAAAACTCTGGATTATGATAGAGGGCTGTGAGACTTTGACCTGAGTGCAAAAATGGAGGCTCTAGACCCTTCCAGAGCTGAGATATCGAAACTCAAAATTTCGACCCGAAAAAAAAACGACAGTGTTACCCCTTACGTTTTTTTTCATTTTCGGGCGAAAAATTAAGTTTCTCCAATCTTCTCAAAACTCTGGATTATGATAGAGGGCTGTGAGACTTTGACCTGAGTGCAAAAATGGAGGCTCTAGACCCTTCCAGAGCTGAGATATCGAAACTCAAAATTTCGACCCGAAAAAAAAACGACAGTGTTACCCCTTACGTTTTTTTTCATTTTTGGGCGAAAAATTAAGTTTCTCCAATCTTCTCAAAACTCTGGATTATGATAGAGGGCTGTGAGACTTTGACCTGAGTGCAAAAATGGAGGCTCTAGACCCTTCCAGAGCTGAGATATCGAAACTCAAAATTTCGACCCGAAAAAAAAAACGACAGTGTTACCCCTTACGTTTTTTTTCATTTTCGGGCGAAAAATTAAGTTTCTCCAATCTTCTCAAAACTCTGGATTATGATAGAGGGCTGTGAGACTTTGACCTGAGTGCAAAAATGGAGGCTCTAGACCCTTCCAGAGCTGAGATATCGAAACTCAAAATTTCGACCCGAAAAAAAAACGACAGTGTTACCCCTTTCGTTTTTTTTCATTTTCGGGCGAAAAATTAAGTTTCTCCAATCTTCTCAAAACTCTGGATTATGATAGAGGGCTGTGAGACTTTGACCTGAGTGCAAAAATGGAGGCTCTAGACCCTTCCAGAGCTGAGATATCGAAATTCAAAATTTCGACCCGAAAAAAAAAACGACAGTGTTACCCCTTCGTTTTTTTCATTTTCGGGCGAAAAATTAAGTTTCTCCAATCTTCTCAAAACTCTGGATTATGATAGAGGGCTGTGAGACTTTGACCTGAGTGCAAAAATGGAGGCTCTAGACCCTTCCAGAGCTGAGATATCGAAACTCAAAATTTCGACCCGAAAAAAAAAACGACAGTGTTACCCCTTACGTTTTTTTTTCATTTTTGGGCGAAAAATTAAGTTTCTCCAATCTTCTCAAAACTCTGGATTATGATAGAGGGCTGTGAGACTTTGACCTGAGTGCAAAAATGGAGGCTCTAGACCCTTCCAGAGCTGAGATATCGAAATTCAAAATTTCGACCCGAAAAAAAAAACGACAGTGTTACCCCTTACGTTTTTTTCATTTTCGGGCGAAAAATTAAGTTTCTCCAATCTTCTCAAAACTCTGGATTATGATAGAGGGCTGTGAGACTTTGACCTGAGTGCAAAAATGGAGGCTCTAGACCCTTCCAGAGCTGAGATATCAAAATTCAAAATTTCGACCCGAAAAAAAAACGACAGTGTTACCCTTTCGTTTTTTTTCATTTTCGGGCGAAAAATTAAGTTTCTCCAATCTTCTCAAAACTCTGGATTATGATAGAGGGCTGTGAGACTTTG